CGTGATTCTGGTACGGGATTGGGACAGGTTGACAAGACACCAGAGAGAATATTTTTGTAGAAGATACAAGTTGCTACGTCCAAGTATTTATGGAACAGAGGAAGACCCCAAGACGTATGCACCTAGTTTTGAACCTGGAGTTTTTCAGTGGATGGAGTTGGCACAAACTGGATATCAACAGTTTTTCTTCATCCGTGCTTGGGAGAATGGACGCCGTTGGGCTGAAATTCTGACAGACCATGGCCTTGATTCTGCAGAACTTTCAAGTTTCTTGGATATGTGCAGAGATCCCAAATTGCTGGGTTGGAACTTGGGTATTCCTGAACCTCAGTGGGATAGTTTTGGCAACTCAGTGGAGGAAGCATTCAACACTCCTTTATTTGCCAAATTGCACTATCGTTTCAAGCAGGAGGAAGAGATTGGCCGTGTCATGCACCTTTTGTCTGAACTTGTTTGTGACTTTTTCATCAAGGTGCTTCCCAGGTGGGTTCTTAAGCATTCGATCTTGTGGGAAGAGTTTATGATTTTGGATCCAGTTACAAAATTTCCTCTTTACAAGACTTCAGAGGCCGCCTTACGTGCAGAAGAGGATCCAGAGAAGTATCATACACATTTTGCTATGAACTCCAAGAAATTCCGTTTTTCTGCAAGAGTTGTGTGGTATTTGATTGACCGTGACAGGAATCATTTAGAGAGTTTTCTTCACAACTCCAACAGCAGATTTGTGCAACATGCATGCTATCAACTTCGTGAATATGTTCAGGCTCGTGTTGCAGTTTCTGATCCCTTGTATGAGATGATTAAGAAGGAAGAGTTTGAACGCCAATACAATTCCAACTTTTTGGAGGCGATTTCTTGCTCTCGTGTTGTAGTTGAACCTGTAAGTTCAGGGACGTTTGAGCCATCATCGAAGCTGAACTTAAAGGTACTACAAGACATCCTGAAGGGTATCTTCAAGATCCAGAAGGATGAGGAGCTTGCCAGAGAACGTGAGAAAGAAGAAGAGCAGGCAGCTCAAAACATCTCAAACTTGATGGCAGATGATATGGAGCTTGATTTTGATGATGACAACGTGCCAGTATGGCGCTCCATTGTCAACAAGTATAGAGAAGGGGATCCAGTGTTGCAGGGAGAAGCAGTGAAGATTACTCTTATCTATAAGGATAAAAAGTACAATGAGAAGGCAACGGAGTTTTTCAGTTCAGATAGGACAGATTATTTTGAGACCTCAGAATCTCTTCCAAGAACTGTGGAAGAAAATCTTGTAGAGGCCTTGCTCACCAAGGATGTCGCAGAACAAGCCTTTGAGGCAGGTGAAGAAGTTCCTCCTTACACAAGAGTCTCCACTGTCACTGGTGAGATCTTTACTGGTAGTATGGAGATCACGAAAGGTGAAGATATGGAAGAGGAAGTCCATGAAGAAGATCCTGTAGTTGAACTCGTCAAGGACGAAGAAGTTTTTGATGAGAATACAGGTGTCTTTCCTTCAGAGGACATGAAGATGGAAGTGGACCAGGAGGAAGCCAAGGATGAGTCAGCACCACACTTTCTGTCAAGAGAGATAGGTGAGGACTCAACTGCATCGTACTTACCGTCAGGTGAGAAGGATGCTAACCTTGATGATACTTCAGGTCTGCGGAAATCTAAGAAGAGCCGCCTGAATAAAATTCCTGATCCTCATTTTCATGAAGAAGTTCAGGATGATGCAACCCTTGAGGAGAAGAAGAAGGCGGTGGAGAAGATAAGAGAGGTCAGAGAGGATGATGGAGAGAAGAAATTGGAGGCTGCAACCCAAGAATCTTTTCCATCTGAAGTAGTTGTTGATCCTGATCCAGTGGAAGCGGACAATACCTATGAGTTGCATACTTCACCTTTGAGGTTGCTTGGAGAGCTTACAGGAGAACCAGGTATTGGCCTTTATCAACAATGCTTCAGGGAAACTCACGCGAGATTGTTGAACCATGTTTGTTTCAGAAAAGGTGAGATTTCCCATCCTCACTATCAGTCAAGGATCATCGAGAACGACTTTGTTCGATCCATTCGAAAGGTCTGTCCAGTACCTCCACCTGATTGTTATGAGGACAGCTCAGAGCATGATTTGAAGAGGTTTTTCATCAATGATGACCGCATCATTTATTTGGATGACAAGTATCAGGTCGATCCAAGGACCCTTGAAAGGGCAGAACAAGCTCGAGCAGATTTGGAGGATACAAAGGAACAACTTAGAGAAGAACTGGAAGAATATGGTCCTAAGGGACCCAGCTGGGACTTTGTCACCTTCTATGAAGAGCTGTGCAAAAGATTCCTCAAAGGAAGAATAGAAGAACAATATGAAACCAACTTATTGGCCAGCTCAGAGTCCCTAACATTTTTATCCTGGAACTATGGCAACATGGTTCGTGGTCAGAAATACACCACACCAAAGTTTCTCCAAGGACTTGATCGTGCAATGAAGCCACGCAGACAGAGTGACATGTCACTTCAATATGCGCAATTTGAAAACAACCTTTTCTTCAACATGCTTTTCTTTTTACGTGCACATGTCGTGATTCTCCAGGAAGCTCATCTCCTTGTTCCTGCCAAGGAATTCATTGAGCAAAAGAATTGGACAGTTTGTTTCAATGATTGGGAGAATCTTGCAGTGATGGCTAGATTGGCACCAGGTGGATATGTCAAGGTCATTGCTGGACATGACCAAGAACTCGGTCACTGTCCACAGCATGATGTAACTTGGGCTATCTACGAGATTTGTTTTGGAGAAACAAGGCCTCGTCAAGAATTCAAGGATGCAGACTTTGAATTTACGGATTATGGTCCTCAGGACCAGCGTGTTCCACTTACTCGAGCGAACATGCATACCATCAGAGTCTGTAATTATCATGTTGATACACACCGTGCTGTGGATGCCCACCTATTGACAGGAGAACAGACAGCATTGATGCTTTATGAGTGTTTTGTGTATGAGGTGGACATCATTTCTGGTGATGCAAATAGTTTGGCCTACAGAATGTCTGGATACAAAAGGCAGCCAATGGCTAACTATTATTACAGCACCATGCAGCATTGGATCCGCAAGTTTTCAGAAGCCCGTGTAAAAGCAGATCCTGGTATCAAAGCACCTATTCCCAGAACATTTTACAGTTCATCTTCACTTGTCCTCAAGCAGTGTGAAGATTACTTTGAGAAACTCTGGGAAGAATACTCTACAGAAGAAAAAGAAGTGCACCAGGGATCAAAGCTTGGCGATACATGTTTGTCTACCATTGTTGAATGGGGTCATTCAATGAGTGGAGAGGAATATTCAAATTCCACATTGAGCACGAAGGAGTTCGTCTGTAATTTTTCAGAGAACTTTGCTCTGATTGACACGGAGGTTATGTGCTCAAGACCCTCTGACGATGACAGTCATGGTCCAATGTTTATTTCACTCAGACCAGCTTCCTTTTCATCTGGAGACAGAAGGCTTTATCGCTCGGGCGAGACTCTTCGAGAGGCTAACTTGCGAAGGAAGGAGAGACAGAAGGAGAATAAAAGGAAAGGAAGGCCGCCAACTTCTGATCAAGCAGCTTCATCGTCTGCAGCGGCATAAATTCAGAGCGGAGGCTGAACTTTAAATGATGGCTAGGAAGTGAAGATACTTCTGATTACAGTTGATACTTTGCTTCCAGGCTTGACTTTAAGTTGCCAGGCTGAAGTTTTAATGAATCCTGGTTTGCAACAAGGAGAAACTTTTTATCAAAGAAGATACTCCTGCATTCCAGGTTTATACGCTTTAGCGTGCAGATAAATACAGTTACTAAACGGTTATTATCTGCAGGTAGGTATGGACAGTTTTTCAGAACTGATGATAACTACCACAGCCGCTCTTTTGAAATGACCTCTAATGGACAACCATTCATGGTTGATGATTAAGTCATTTTATGAGTTTGCATTTGTAGTGCAAGTTTTTTTTGTACATACATTTGCCGGTGTCTCCTTCCTTTTGTTTTTGGTGTTAATGTGAGAGAGTCCTTTTGATGCAGTTTCATTTTTGGAATAAGTCCTGTGTATGGAAGCGGCCGAGACCACTTTTAGAGAAGAACATTCCTCGGACCGAATCATTCACGCTCCTTGCATTTTGCAAGGCATCTTAATTCATTGCATTTTGTGGGGTCTTGAAATTTTAGTTCTTCGTTACGCGAGTGTCGTTTACTGCTTTTATAGGTCTCTGTGCAATAGAAGCCGCTTTCCTTTGAATTTATAGTTTCTTAGAGCTCTGGCTATTTAAGGGCTATTAAGCGCCGGTACATGGTATCTTCGCCGGTGAACGATACAGTCTCCAGCCGAGATACATTGTCTTTGACTTTGTATTTGAGGTGAGTAAGCTATCGCTCCCTCACTGTATTTAGTATACCTAGAGATTACCTTTTCTAAAGTGTGCAACACACTGGAATTGGTAAGTACAGGGCACCGTGGTTTCCTTTTACACTTACTAGAGCTTGCTGGACTGTTTTAGCCTTGCGGTAGAAAATAGTGTGCGACATACGCAATAGGCAGGAGTGGACATGAATTTTGTGCCTGCTGAAATGTAGAGGCCTACTTGTACAGGTTCCACTCCAGTGGCCTATCTAGTGTGTCCATGCTTGACTGCCAATAGGCTCAAGAGGATAAGACTCTGCGTATAAAAGACACTAGCGGTCTGCACCTCAACCGTGTACGCCCTAGTCACTCTTTCACCCCCCACCCCCCAACCACCCATTGAAAGTCTAAACTAACGTCTTAATATCAATACTATAACATCAACCTCATCACCGTAACCTCAAAAACGCACACAGTCAGCTCGAAAACGCACGAAGAAGCAGAAAACCAGGGGCCCTATTATGACAGTGTCTCCTTCTACAAGCTATGAGTCAAGAGTTCTTGCGTCTGGGAGCACATGAATTGTGGCCACAATTCGGCTTGACGCTGTCCAGCTGTTCAGGTGCCGTATCCGTTCTGGTGTGCATCTCTAAGACCCGTGCTAATTTGTCCATGAAGGAACATTGACCTGTTAGAATCAGAAACAGCTCTCAGAATCTCGCTACCCAACCCGAACGACCAAATAACTCCGTCATGCTGCTGCACATGCAGATAAAGCTCCGGGCACTTCTCGCAGACCATGTAGTACAGCGATTTCCTTAGACCACTTCACCAAGAGAACCAACGCGTCGATCAAAACTGGGTTCTCCCAGGTACCCGAGAAATGTCCTAAGCTCACTGCTCAGCAAAGCTCTTGTGGAGCTTGACCTTGGCAATGAAAGCACCAGGCTTCCAGGGCTCGCACAACACTTGAACTAGTCACGAGCTGTTCGGCAATGCCTGACTCTTAGGATCCTGCTATGTATGAGCAATTGGAGCTGCTGGCCTGCTCGCTTCGAAACGGAACCAAAGGCACTTCCACCAAGAGAACCATGTGTCCCTTCCTTTTCGAACATAAGTAAGCTTGTATACGTAAAATCCATCGTGCTGAGGGCAGACACTGTCACCCTCCCTACATGCCAACTGGAATTAAAAGTGCGATTCAACGCTTCTGCCTTTGTCCAAAGATCAACCTCCGTGCGGGTAACCCGATCACGGCTCTTGCTCACTTGACCATTGCCTTGGCAAGATCCATGCCATATACAGAATCGATGTATTGATGTGACTGAATGTTCTGCGGTTTGATGCTCTGAGAGATTTATATATATATAACATGATTTAACTACATCGAAGAATCGAAGCTAAGACTCCAACAAATGCCGTGTTCATCGCGCTCTCGCACGTCAACAATTTTAACCGCGAGCTCCTGTTGAAATTCTGAAAGCCACTCAAGACCCTCGAAGTGTTCGACATCATCAATCTCTTCTCTTTTTGACTCCTTTCTTTTTTTCTTATTGAAACTTATGACCTTTTATTTCTTCCTAGATTATATTATATTTTCTGTGCAAAAGAAAACCAATGCCATTCAGTACGTCAGGTCGTTCATGCTCCGACCTGCTGTGAATGCCTCTCGATGACTAATCGCACTTGGCCGAAAGCTCCTGTCAGGAATCCAGGCACATGAACTGAAAAGCTACTTCCTGGCCAAAAGTTGTGAGAAACACGTGCATCGCTACTTCACAAACAAAACTCTAAGGCTCCAAACGACACTGAATAGTTTCTGCCGGATTCACCCAACATGAGTTTCCACGAGTCAAGGCAGATTCCAGCTACCGCTAGATACAACTAGAACCAGGCGGTCCTTCTCCAAGTTTTTTTCCGAGTTTGTACTGGCTGAAGAAGTGCCTGAAACGAACAAAACAATGAGAACAAATGGCTGATCACAAAGTCTTGTTTCATTTCACACCAGGAGCAGAACTCTTCTGGGGCAGAGTTGGCAGCGTCACTAGCGCAACATCCTGTCAAACATGTATAGCGCAGCTGATCTCACACTGCAGACATCGGAACCAAACGCAACAGTGAGGGCCGCACCCATTAGCAACTGCTAGGTCACTGCCAAGCCGACCAGCCTGGCAAATGGGCCAAAGTGCCAGGGAACATCGACAACTCTAGTATAGAGCTCTTGAGCTGTATATAAAATTACACCAGCATAGACCCAGATAGCTAGGCAGAATCCCACGACCTGTTGACATGCGACTGGCTGGAACAAGAATGTACGCAGCCTGCGCAGCCAGCTTACGGCACCTCCACAGCGCGCACAATCAGCTGACACCAACACCGGTGCGCTTTGCCAGCTGACAACGCCGGCAGCGGCGCCAGCACCCGACCAGCGCCGCCGGCCGCCGCCCGTCTTAAACGCGCGCTCAGCCAGCTCACAGCACCAGCACGCAAGACCACAACAAGCACCAGCACCGACACCCTCTCGAAAGCGCGCGCAGCCAGCTCACTCTTATTTGCAGCACGAACCCCATAGCTATCCCTTTTTGGTGAGTAACAACGCATGATCTTGCCCGTATAAGTTCACGCGCACAAAAGTATGCGCGCAAGCAGCAAAGCTCGTAAGTGTCATTGGCCCAAGGCCAAGCAGTCTCCAGCGCCACTATTGACTTTGAAGCAACAATCTGCAGAACGATAAGGCCGTATGATCTTGCGCGTAAAAGTTTATGCCCACAAAAGTATGTGCACAAACGGCAAAGCCCGTAGGCTTCACTCGCCCAGGGCCGAGCAGTATCCAGCACGACTATTGTGTGTGTAGCATGCTGAAACATGCTGAAACAATGGTCGGTTGAGAGCCTGACGTTGCGCATAGAACAATTACACGTACAAAAGTACGCGCGCAAACAGTACAGCCCTTGACACAGCTGCCGGCCAAAACAGAACCTGAAGAGTGTAAATACCCCACAGCGCTGCGACAACACCGCATGATGTTGCGTGCGTAAGTTCATGCGGCCCATGACTGCTGGCACTTCATTGTCAGAAGCGGCGCTTGGTCGCCCTTCGCCCTTCATCACTTCACTGTCAGAAGCGGGCACCAGCACCGAGCACCGACACGCCAGCTCACAGCGCCCAGCACCAGCACCCAGCACCGGTATACCCAGCACCCAGCACCAGCACCCGGCACCCGCACTGCCAGCTCACAGCGCCGGCATTGATGTCTCTACCACGCAGCACCGGCACCCCGCACCGGCACCAGCAACCTGTCTCCACCACGTGCACAGCCAGCTCACAGCACCCCCACCGGCACCGGCACCCAGCACCAGCAACCTGTCTGGAAAGCGCGCACGAGCAACTCATTGTTATTTGAAGTAAGAACCCCATAGCTTCGCTATCTGGGGAAAAATGGTTTTCGAGCAAAATGAAACAGAACGCTGTTGTTCTGCACGATGACTAAATCTATGTGAAAAAAAAGAAACGGCTGTAATTTAGCTTCATCTTCCTTAACAAATTACACCAGCATCGACCCCAAACAGCAGCGGCAGTCGGAGTTTTCTTTTTTGGCCGATCCATTCCTGGCGCCAAATTTGCGCCCAGCATCCAGACATGCCATGGGAGACAAGGAGAGACAAAGCAAAGTGATCCCAGCCCAGCATCCAGACACGCCATGGGAGACAAGGGGAGACGAAGGGAGACAAAGCAAAATCATCTCAGCCCAGCATCCAGACATGCCATGTGGGACAAGGGGAGACAAAGGGAGACAAAGCAAAGTCATTTCAGTCCAGCATCCAGACACGCCATGCGAGACGAAGGGAGACAAAGCAAATCATCTGAGCCCAGCGTCCAGACATGCCATGGGAGACAAAGGGAGACAAAGGGAGACAAAATCATCTCAGCCCAGCATCTACATCTAGACATGCCATGGGAGACAAGGGGAGACAAGGGGGAGACAAAGCAAAATCATCTCAGCCCAGCATCCAGACATGCCATGGGAGACAAGGGGAGACAAGGGGAGACAAAGGGCGGGAATCATCTTGGCCCAGCATCAATTCTATGCAAGAATTGAGAACCCCTCACAGCAAAGCTGTTTGGGGAATTACAATATTATACCAGCGTAGACCCCAAACAGTTTGTGCGTTTATGAAGTTAACCACAGAGACAAACTGTCAAACCGTCAACGGCTCAAACCGTTCCAGCTCGCGGTGATCAACTCGGACCTTCTGGGCTTGTTTCAGCACTTGGCTCAATTGGCTCAAGGTCACAACCGACAATTCAGACGAAATAGAACGCAAATCTACTGAATATGCTGAGTTGTACTGACATGTGGCTTTATCATGATTGTTTGGCTAAAAGATGTTAAAAGCTTTCAACCAAAATGTGAGACAAGCAGGGACACAAGAAGGGAGACAAGTGAAGAAGCGAGGGAGACAAGCACGGGGACAAGTGGAGACAAGTGTAGCAAGAAGGGAGACGAGCAGGGAGACAAGTGGGACAGCGTAAAGCCACTTGGCCAAGAGTGTCTAAGCAGGGAGCAGGCGAAGAGGCAAGCGGAGACAAGTGTAAAAGCGTATCCAGAGCAGGCCGAGACAAGTGGAGACAAGTGAAGCAAGAAGGGAGACAAGCAGGAGAGAAGTGTAAACTCATCCAACCGAGAGCATAGAAGCAAGAAGACAAGCAACCGGCCAAGTGTAATCCAAAGTAGGCCGAAAAAGTGGGAGACCAGTGGAGACAGGTGTAAAAACAAACATCCCCAGCCAAGTGTATCCAGAGTAGGCAGAGGAAACATCTCACGCGGCCCAGAGGACCCAGAGGGAGACACGCGCAAAAGCATGCAGCCAGAGCACCCAGAGTGTATTGGAGACAAGGAGAGACAAGTGGGAGACAAGTGCAAAAGCATGCAGCCAGAGCACCCAGAGTGTATTGGAGACAGGGAGAGACAAGGGGGAGGCAAGCCAGAGTACAGGAGACAAGGGAGACAAGTGGGAGACAAGTGTACAATCACGCGGCCAGAGCAGCAGAGTGTAGTGGAGACAGGAAGACAAGTGACAAGCGGGAGACAAGTGTAAAATCATGCGGCTTAGACTGAGAGACAGCTGCAACATCATTCGTGTGGCAGGAACACAAACCGGGAGACACATGCACAATCACGCGGCCGGCCCTTTCAAAGGAGTAAGAACCCCTCACAGCTAAACCTGTTTGGGGAATAAAATCATGCGGCCAGAGCACTGAGAGCATCCAGAGCTTACTGGGAGACAAGTGGGAGACAAATGGGAGACAAGTATAAAATCATGCGGCCAGCGCACTCAGAGCATCCAGAGCTTACTGGGAGACAAGTGGGAGACAAATGGGACACAAGTATAAAATCATGCGGCCAGAGCACTCAGAGCATCCAGAGCTTACTGGGAGACAAGTGGGAGACAAGTGTGAAGTCATGCGGCCAGAGCACTCAGAGCATCCAGAGCTTACTGGGAGACAAGTGGGAAACAAATGGGACACAAGTATAAAATCATGCGGCCAGAGCACTCAGAGCATCCAGAGCTTCTGGGAGACAAGTGGGAGACAAGTGTGAAATCATGCGGCCAGAGCACGTGGGAGACAAATGGGAGACAAGCCTGAAATCATGCGGCCAGAGCAGACAAGTGGGAGACAAATGGGAGACAAGTATAAAATCATGCGGCCAGAGCACTGAGAGCATCCAGAGCTTACTGGGAGACAAGTGGGAGACAAGTGGGAGACAAGTGGGAGACAAGGGTGAAATCATGCGGCCAGGAACACAAGCCCGGAGACAAACTCAAAATCATCCGGCCCGAGCATGCACCCCATTAAAAGGAGTAAGAACCCCTCACAGGTAAACCTGTTTGGGGAATAATACAAATATGGTTACATGGTTCAACGCTTGATCGCTTTCGTTGGCAAGGTGATGATGACTGAAAAAAGTAGTTGACGAGCATACAATCGAAGGTCGCCTCCTGTTTGGAGTGGGCGGTACTCGACAAGACGGACGCCTTGACGCCTCTCTATTTCGGCTCCTGTCGCCGTTTCTACCAGCTAGACACTTAGAGCCTTGGCAATCGGACACTCACATCAAGCGCGCAAGCCACAAGAACCTTTGCACAAAAGTCCAAACGTTTCAAACAAACACCACTTATGCCATAGTACTTGTGCACATCATTTTCTATGGCTAGCCAGGAGTGCTGGCAGTCTAAGATTGTCCATTAACACTTGCATCTTGCTGGGACCCCACATTGGAGACAACTATATACAGGCTCTAAGTCAGGCTGCGCAGACTGCGAGGTGTGGCAGGTCTTGCATAGTTGCTATTCTCAACTATGCAAGTAAAAACACTTTCAGATTACAATGTCCAAATATCAATACAATATGTGTTGAATAAAGGATTCTGCTACAAAACTACAAATCGGTTGCTCCACACTTTCCAAGTCTCCACGTGCTACTGGGTGTGCTCATCGCTTGCTTTAGCATGCGACTTTTTCAAGCACTCCTTTGGCAAAAGGGTAACCCAGAGGTCAACTATATAACAGCTTGTCTTTTCTCTCCCACAAAAGGACCACGAGCTGTTTATCTAATCTCTGGAGGCCGACTTCCAACACATGTGGCTTCGCCAGCAGGTCGGTCAAGCAGCATGCAGCCAGAGATGCGATCAAAGAACGCTTTGAGTGAATTGAGTGTGGAATGTTGTTGTATGTTCTATGTCTTGAGATGTTTTTGCACAAACAATATGTTGAATTTCAGCTGTGGCTCACTGTCCTTGACGTCCACGAGGCCTAGCGGCGATCGGGCACTTCCAAGTGTGTGGCCAAACAACGCCAGTGGATTCGCGGATTCGTGTCAAAAAGGCGTTTTAATATTCTGAAATTGCAATGCACCTGTTTGCTTCATTCCTTCCCGAAGTTTTGACTTCCACCATGCCTTCCTTCTGTGGCTGGTCGGGCACCCGCTCGGGCGCTCATCGGCTGGATCAGAACTGGCGGGCGAACCAGATTGGCTGGAGCAGTGCCCAGTCGATCAGCCTGTGGAGTCTGGTCTGAATGCTTCAAGACACCCTGTCGAACGCTACGTACAGGCAAAAGCCATTGAAAACAGCCAAGCCAAGACACCTGGCCTCTGATGGAACCTGCACAACACAGGAAGTAACGGAGCTGGTCGGGAGCCTAAAGCCTTGGGCTTCTTTTTGGACGGTTTTGCCAGATCATCTCTGCAGTCACAAGGCAAAACAGGATAAAACAGGTGTCTATCCGAACTTGAGGTACAGATCTTAGTGAGATGCAGCGAGTTCATGATGTTCGTCGTTCGCGGTGAACCAAAACACACACTATTGGAACTCTCGGACATGCCTGGTTGGGAACTCTCTGGAAAATCCTGCCATGCCATCTCAGTATCATGCCATGCGAGTTTGGGCATAAAGTTTTGCATAAAGTCAATCGTCTACGAGAATAGGGACTGCCCGAACCAACCAATGCGTTTAGTTAGTCTTTTTGCTAAATGTTGAGACAAATTGAGAGCAATGAGACCAACAACCAACAAAACAAAACAAAACAAAACAAAACAAAACAAACAAACAAACAAACAAACAGCCAGCCAGCCAGCCAGCCAACCAACCAACCAACCCTCCAACCCAAACCAACCCAATAACCGACATTAACCGACAACAAATAATTTCTTAGTGGCTTCCCGGTTTGGACACCCCTTTCTTGAGGATCAAGTCCGCCAGCGTAGCATCTTCGGCAACTTGGCAGCAACCGGCACGGTCACGACCGGGGCCATGTTCGTCTGAGCCTCAAGTCGACTAGTCCTAGTGCTCTGGGAAGAAAAACAGGACGATCTCGCAAGCGCGCCAAACAAAAAGAAAGAACACTGCCAGAATGTTGATGATGGCACTGCAAGGTCTCAACCACCTTTCTATATCTCTTTGTGTCTTCACTCGATCAACCCCAACAAATACTTTCTCAACATAGCGGTGCTATTGGCAGAAGTCAATGGGAAGGATTCCCGAAGAGCCTTGTTGCTGATCTCATCCAATCTTCCCTGGCAGGAGAGTGGCGTCGCTACTCTATGATCATTCTCGTTTTGCCCGACGAATGCACTGATGGACCACACCTCACCCCGGAGCTGGGAAAATTCGGTCGACTGCGGTACAGCCGCACAACTCACCCAAAAGGCCTGCAGCTGCCGGATCTCCTTGCAGTATTCCCCTCTGATCTGCTCCAAACGCCCATCAAAGGTCTGACAGCAGAAGGGCGGGTCTGAGAGTGACATGTTGTGTTTCGCTTCAGAAACACAAGCTCATTCCATCAATTTATCATGGCCACACCTCTTTAGTGATCCATTTACTTCCAGCCACCAGCTGCCGTGCAGCGGCTGCAATCATCACCTGCCAATGAACACATCCTGAGCCGTCCCCTCGCCGTTGCTGAAAATTCCTCGCTCAAAGGAAAAGACGGGCTATGATGGCCCTTAGACAGAACATTCGCGCAAACAGGAGCAATTTTGAATAGTCGCTCAAGGTTTTTGATTCTTGACACGTGCGCCTGAATTGAGATGTGCTTCAAGCACTCTCTTCTGACAAGAGTTACATTGAGAAGCTCCCCGACTTTCTAGTGTCGCCCCGGATCGTGCCCAAGCTTTTTGCTGAGGCCTACATTTAGAAGGAATCATGGAACCCAGGATAGGGCAAAATAGCAAAGAGTAGCAACTCGAGCTTGTACGCCTTGGAGATAATGCCCCTCTCTCTCAGGCCTGCTTGGTCCAAACAACTCCATTGTTCCAAGTGATCTTATTGCCCTCTATCTTGCCCTTGAAGCCAAAGTAATCAAGGCCATCACCTTGACAGAACTTTCTCACCTCCAGTGTTTGCTTCCCCACAGTTGGATGGTTAATGATCACGGATTGGCCAGAGCTATCAACTGAGATATCAATCTCCCCGCCAGAGCTGTGTGACCACTTGCCCTGTGTAGTGTATGGAGAGATGGTTGACATGGCGCCGCCAACAAGTCAGGATCAAACAAGACCCTGCAAACACTCCGAGGAGCTCCAAAGTTTGAACCCAACGGCGTCATCAAATTTTTGTGAGCTCAAAATGGCTACAATGGCTACTCAATCTCTAGGCCAGCCCGACAAGATCATGCCCAGTGGTGAAAGGACTTGCTCCAATATCCAAAAAGTGTAAGGTATGGTGGCAAGTCTTCAATCTCCACAACAGCTCGCCTGAACGCGTGTAAGTGACAATGATGTCCCCTGCAGATCACACTTGAAAGGTCCAGGTCGTTCTGAGTGCTGTCTGTGTTATGAATGTCCTCAATAAAGGAACTTCTGCCGTTGCAAAGGAAGCGAGGCAAACAAATAAGTGCCTAGCTACCTAGTTTACCTGACAGTCAGACCACAGCACACTTGTTCTACTTCCTGGGCCACTGTGCGCACCTCATCATCCATTCCTTCTAAGGCCGTGCTCTGCACCAAGACGTGCAAGCGACTGGCCAGCTCCAAATTCTGCTGTCCCTGCAAAGTCTCAAAACGTCTCAAGTGAACCCAATGAGCCAGGGACCCTCAGGGACGTTCAGGGGACGATCAGGGACCATCAGGATGCAGGGCTGCTGCAGGGTCCTGGTCGTTTGACCATGTGCCGCTGGGGCTGTCTTTGGTATTACAAAGGGGCGTGCTTAAGTCTGCCATGACCCTCACCAATGGTACCCAGAACAATGCATATACTGAAAGGGCCCACCAAACTTGGCATCCAATTCAGGTCACAGATTCAAGTCATCATCAAAGCGTCCAGCACCACTTTTGCTCTTTTGAACGATCAAAACAAAACTCGCACAATCCTCACAATCCGACGTCTGAGTGGGGCGTTAGCCAAGGCATGGCTGTCAAGACCAGGAATCGGCGTGAATCTTGTTCTGGGCAATCAAGACTCCACCGGTTCGTCTTCTAACACGACCCGGTCCAAGCTCCAAAGCCTCCAGAGCCTCTGAAAAACGCGATGAAACGCTCTAAAACACCATTCAAAGGCTCATGAAATGCTCTGAGTCCAGGCGTCAGAGCTGGGAGAGGGCATCTGAATTATCATGAGCTGTTGGGCAATGCTTCGCATGGCAGCTCGCTATCTGACCATGGTGAGACTTGTCCATCTCCGGCAGCCAAACGATTAGCAATGACATGCAATGACTGGATCCTTAGCTACATGTGGCACATGTGGCCACGCCTATATTACAGTTGATGCAAATGCAAAAAGGATCAAAAAGGCCCCTCCTTCGGCTGTCAGAACATGGTCGCCCTATGGTACAAAGGGAAGCTCGTGAGGGGCAATTTGCTATGCCACCACGGCTTTCTACATGCAACGGCGGGATCGCTCCACCAAACGATCCTGTAGTGGAGCCTCAAATGTGCTCTGAAATCAGAAGCTTCGGCAACAAAACTTCAAATCAAGAAACAGAACGTCACCAAGTCAGCAGCCACTCGCTCCCTAACTCGCTGGATCATCTCTTCCTAGCAAAAGAACATTTACGAGTCCGCCCTGGAGCGCCGTGCGTGTGCCACTCTTTCGCACCTGCTCTTGAATGAGGGCAGCCTGTCAGGGATGTCATCTCTTGTAGCTGAGGAGAGGAGCTCGCTCTCTCTCTCTCTCTCTCTCCCTCTCTCTCTCTCTCTCTCTCTGTCTCTCTCTCTGTCTCTCTCTCTCTCTCTCTCTGTCTGCGGAGCTCAGCATGTGTTCTTCGGGGTAAGGCACCTTGTCCCCCTCCAAGGCATTGATCATTGCCTGCAATTCCTCCAGAATGAAGTGCTCAAAGAGATGTTGCTGTGGAGATTCAACAGCGCCTGCTTTTCTTCTGCAGCTGCCTGCAAGGCCTGATTCGGCAGGTCTCGCACACATGAAGAGAGCAACTTGAATGCCAAACCTTCCAATCCCAACAACCCGAAAAGCATTGGCTTTGATTTTTCGACCAACGTCCCTCTCTTGAATTGTTTACTGTTGTGGCAACCACATGCCATATGCTTCAATGAATGGGCCTCATCAGCCTGCCGCCGACCTCATTCCACAGTCATGCTCAGACATGTTAAGCAAAAAACACAAGGCATGTAAATAAGGAGATGCTCGAGGCTCTGGCCACCATGCGCTTTGGATGGGGAGGGCCCTAGAGCTGCATGCAGTTTGTCAAATGCTCTCGCAAGCTTGCTGCAGCCCAGTCGCGCTGGAGATCATCTATGAGGCTTAGAAGCCGAGGCCTTGGACTTTGAGAAAGGCGTAAAGTGCCTCGGCGCCTCATCTTCTCAGCTGAAAGGGCTGAGTGTTTGGGCCGAGTCTGCAACCAGAGGGAGCGGTCCTACGAACAGTGCGATGAAACCGAACAAATCCGTATGTCTCACTGACACAGGTGCTTGGGTTGCGGCAATTGACCGCCACACCCCGCCCAAACAGAACTAGCCAGAGCAAGAACTGTGTCCATGAGCAAAACCAGCAACTGTTTGTCGACAAATGACCAGCCCACCTCACTCAGCACCTTGTGCTCCGCACGTGCCACGGCAAGCTCCTCCTTTGCTTGACCTTGAGAATTCAACGCAAACTCAACTGACTCACACGGGGCAAGTTGCTTCAATAATCTTCAATATCAGTGTCAACCATTCTTTCCACGGGTGTTCTTGCTAATCAGTCCGTTATGCCATAAGTCCTTGCTACCTGGAAAAGCTCAGCTTCGAAACGCCCTTGTGTTCGACGCTCTGATTTCAGAAACGCCAACTCCTGCAATGATGTGGACTCTTCAAAAAGGAATAAGTAATAAGCATATAAAATACATGCCCTGGCCCCCACAGGTTGCATCAAGTCATCTAAGCTGCATGAACAATGAATTTCTCAAACTTGTACACTCAAAGATCCACAGACCTCTTCTGCCACAAGCAGTCTTTGAGATTCTGCCTCAACTTCTGCCTTGCCAGGTTCAATCCTTTGCCAATATCAAGCATGGAATGATAGTGCAAATAGTGCCTGGATCGCCACGGTAAGGTTCGCAAGCTTGTGTTGATGCTCCTTGGGCTGGTCTGCTTTCTCTCAGGATTCAACTCTGGAGAATGTCTTCCCAGCTGCGCTCAACGGCGAAAGCGGATGCCTTCAAGGAGTCCAGCTCGGCCTTTCGCGCTTCGCCTCACGGCGGTGCTGCCAACGCCCTCCCGTCGGACGCGCCCGCGGTCGGTGGCCTCGGCTTCGAGCTTCCGCCCACGTGCGGCCTGGGCGGAACGAGGACCTTTGGTGGTTCGGTCCGTGAGATGCCACGAGTCGGACCCACAAGTCTCGCCAGCTCGAAGAGCGAGTCCTTAAATTCTGAAAGTTAAGGGAAGCACAGACAAACAAAAAGGGACAAAAGCAGCAGGGTTGGTGCTCCTCGGCAACAGGATGTGGAAGCAAGGCCATTAGCTTGGGCTTCAACTGCACTTCTACCTGCAGACCCCAAGCGAGTTGGCGAGCCGTTCAAGGGATTGTCAAAATGATCTGTCCCCCAAAAGAAAAGGACATGGGAAACTTGATGAGAGTTATTGACTCTGGATCATCCCTCACATCCTTTATCCTCCTCTTTGCAACGCCACTGCCTCCTCGTTCCTTCTCTCTTCCTCTTCGCGAAGCCTCAACTTTGCCCGCCAATGTTCCACCTGCAAAACTGACAGGGTTTGACATTACAGGCACACATGAACTGCACTTTCCAGCTGCCTCGGCTTCCAGTTCTTGAGAGGAGTTTCGATAGGCAAGCACCTGTCCAGTTTGTGGGCCATCGAAGAGATGTTCTTCAGAAAAGCTTGATATTTAAAAAATCAGTCGCCAGAATCTAAATGCAGTTTTGCAAGGTCACAGCCTCCTCCGAGATTTCTTGACACTCCTAGAGGGGTGATGATGCCAAGGGATGGAGGGGCGAGAAAGGGATGACAAAGAGAAGTTTGCCGGCAGAGAGGGCAAACTCCTTCAAGATATATAATAGGTTTGTAACACCAGGCTAGCTTCCAGTGTTCAGACATATTCAGCCCGGTCCTGCTGGAGCCTGGCAATCCGAGCCCGCAACCTGCTCAGTAAGTTGTGTTGGCCAAAGAGGATTCCCAAGCTTACATGAACAGAAAAGCTGCTAAAAGCAGAAATACTGGTTGTTTTGATAACAAGAGTGCAAGAGAACTGTTGCTTTTTCAGGCAGTTTTATGCCGCTATGCCATGCCCATGCTTCTCTGATCAAGCCCTGGACCTAGTTGACCTCCTCCGAGCACCTTCTCCCTGCATGTCGAGTACTGGCGCTATTTGGAGATGAGAGGAAAAACTAGACGACGAGTGGCCCGAAAGCATTTTTCATCACGTAGGAAGTCAGAGTGTGAGTTGTCTGTTAAGTGTTCAGTGTGAAGTGTTAAGTCGAGTGAGTTGAGGCAGTGTGTGGGTCTCTGTGTGTGTGTGTATCTATGTCTGTGTGTGTATGAGTCTCTGTCTGTGTGTGTGTGTCTCCGAGTAAGTTGAGGCAGTGCGTGGGTCTCTGTGTGTGTGTGTGTGTCAACCTTTTAAGAGAGCCGGGTGGTCGGGAGACATGACTCAGCTGCAGGGGCGCCAGAGCAGCTGCGAGAGATGACTCAGCCGCGAGAGATGACTCATCCGCGTACTAAAGTTGCACTGCAAAGTCACCAGTTCTCAGCTTCCAGCTCCCCAGATACTCCGCGTACTAAAGTTGTACTACAAAGTCGCCAGTTCTCATCTTCCAGCTCCCCAGATACTCCGCGTACTAAAGTTGTACGACAAAGTCGCCAGTTGTCATTTTCCAGCTCTCCAGATACTCCGCGTACTAAAGTTGTACTACAAAGTCGCCAGTTCTCAGGTTCCAGCTCCACAGACTGCTCCACGTACTACAGTTGTACTACAAAGTCACCAGTTCTCATCTTCCAGCTCCCCATATGCTCCGCGTACTAAAGTTGTACTACAACTTCGCCAGTTCTCATCTTCC